ATTAACAAGGAATGAAATAAGCAGAAGAATCAAAAGGGGGAGTATAAAATCAGAATTAGAAAATTTGAAAATTTGTGAGATTTTGTAAGAAATATTTCGGTCCATTAAGTCGTATACATTTCTTACCATTAAACTGATCCCACTTGAAAAGCTTGTTTTTATAGTTACAAAACTGAGGTGTTGCTTAGAAAGCGCACGGAGTTTTTATTATGCGTTTTGTGCTGTGTAACAACGTTACAAAACGCATATTGTCACGGGTTGTCTGTGTGTGTGTGTGTTTGTCTGTGTGTCCCACATTTTGTCCCGAACTTTCAACTCGGGAACCACAAAAGCTAAACGGCTGAAGTTTTGGTGTAGTGTTCCCGCCAGCTGGTGACGCGGCAAATTTAAATTCAGCCTTCTCGTACCCGCGGGTAACTTGTACGGCCCCGTGAAAGTTTTTCACGGGTAAATTAATATCTCAGGAACCACAGAGTCTAGGAGGCTGAAATTTTAGAGTAATGACCCCCTGCCCAAGCTCAACCTTGCCCATTCAAATTCAGTGTTCCCTCGCTGTTGAGTATCACCTACGGTCTCATGAGAATTTTGGCAGCTAAACTATTAACTAGGGAATCACGGAAAGATATTCACCCTTCAAGGTTTCGAATTCAGCTTTCATGCGGTGGTGCGTGAAATTTTTAACTATTTTCCAATTTTTGAACTATTTTTACATAGACAAAAGTACAAAACAGTGAAAATCATTAATGGACAATCGTTCGATGGGCTGAATTGCACAAAACGCATGATCGCACCGACTAGTCTGGTGCGCATTGCTATTTATTATATTTGCTGTGCTTTTAGGCATTGGCAGTGATCAAAACATCAAGTTCATATTGGGAAGGGCGATCGGATGCGGAAACTTTAACTCGACTTTATGGAATATCTTTTCCTGATTCAAAGCAACTCAAAGAATGGCAAAAATTACAAGTTTGTTCTGACTTGTTAAGCTGACGTATTACAGTTCCTTAACTTCAAGCACACGTTTTCACGTGACCCTGAGTACTGGCCAGGGGCAGCGTTCAGCAGTGTGCAAAATTACATTGAATTCAACAGTTTTTGAAGAAAAACTGCTGATCCTAGTCGTGTAGCCCTGGCTTGCAGTGGTCATTGCCAGCGGTAACCGCATCTA